AACCATTCCAGAATAACATTTTAACTTTAGATAAAAAGAAATGAGCTAATTGTAGCCTGAAATTTAAAAAATTTTGAAGGAAATGAGCATTACTGCCTCAATACTGATAGTCATACCAATAAGTAACTGTGAAAGAAATCCAAGGACAAGGTGATTTATCATGAAAAGTCCATGACACACATGTCATTTTGTATTATTTCAACCCAGAACACAACCCAGGAGAGACATGGGGACTATGTCTTACTTTTAAAAAATCTTACTTTTTAAAAATATTTTGGAATGGTCACACTCCCAGTTTGAGTTGATATTTCCACTTTGAAACTGTAGGGCAATGAAATAAAAAGGGAACATTGGTGCCTTACTCTTCCCAGTTATGTAGCAGGAAAGTCAAAAACAAACAGAAAAACATACCCCTCTTGTTTTGCTCTCTCTGAAACACTGCCTCAAAAAAACAAGAGGAGCACTCAGATTAAATTTTTATTTCTTCCTAAATTATTTTTTACATGTATATGAGAAATAAATAACTATAATTTACTATTAATGGACTTATTTGAGTTGCTCAGTGAACAGGGAAAATATTAAAAAGAAAAAAAGATACCGAAACCAATAAGAAAAAAAAAAAAAAGGCAAGAAACTAGGTAACATAAAAACAGAGAAATTGTTCTGAAATAGGTGGAACGTCCCATCAGTTACTTAGTGTGATGACAGCCAAAACACAGTGTGATGTGTGATTTAGTGTGATGACATTTCCCCATGAAGAAATATATTGTGTCTTGTAATATTAGCAAGATGCTAATAAAGGAGGGTTGGGATTACAGAGGGGAGACAGACACTGTGCATGTAAGGTGACCACGTACTGCAGGCTTCTCATTTTAGAATTCTGCGTTAGGTGCTAAAGCCATGGTTTGACTGTTTGGACACAGTGTTTTGAACCTGTCTTAAAATTTTTCAAAGAGAAATAAGATGAAATTGTGTATACAATTCAGACATATTTCTATATCTCCCCAAATGATAACGAATGTGGAAATGATCATGCTTCTTTTTTGTTTTCAAATACTAGACATCATGATAAATGTTAACAGGGCATAGATTTTTGCTTACTATTACTTGTCACCATCAGAGAAAAAAACAGTTAAAATAGAATCCATATTCTATGTTTTATTTTTAAACCAGATTCACCATTTTTAAGCGAGTGTTTGTGGCTAAGCGGTTATAAGATTGATCAATTTCATTAGTAGTAGTTTTGCATATAAATAAAATAACCATAAATGGAATGAATAATAAGGATGTACATAATCAGTGGGAGTCGCTTTTCCCTGGGTAAAAGCCTCCAAGATGCATTAGGGACGTATCAGCAAAGAGATGAGGATGAAATAAGGTTGCTTTCAACTCCACAAATTTAGGAGAAATCTCACTTATCAAATCACATAATGGTAATAAGAAAAACTGTCATAACATAGTTCTAGTAAATATCAATATCTTATTTTTAGAGTTTTTGTTTAATATAAATTAGTCAAAAATAGCTTTTCTCATGTCACCCAATAAATTGTGGAAGAGTGTTAATATAATTTTCATTATTTAACAGGTATTCACAAAAGCTTATTACAGGGAAGAACAGAAAGAGAAAGAGAAGATAAAAAGGGAAAAAGGAGAAAAGGTGTGCAGGAGAAGATGGAGGAGGGATCGATGTAGAGTGAGGAAAAATAGCACTTTCTAGAAAAGATGTCCCTTCTGGGATAAAACATGCTTTGGGCAGATTATAGAGTATATCAGAGGCATTCTG